ATATATATATATATATATATATATATATATATATATATATATATACATCCATCTATCTATATATATATGTGTGTGTGTGTGTGTGTGTGTGTATATATAAAGGCATTTTAAACCCGTCCCACACTCTTGCAATATTCTAAATAATGTTTCTAAACTCTCTAAACGACTCAGATTGTCCTGATTTCAGCTCTCTGACTCCTCTGCTCTCAGCCACCTGCAAGTGCTCTTGGCCACGCCCACTTCTATGGTCTGCACACAGAACAGCTGATCAGCTGCAGCAGGACGTTTATCCTGCAGCTCTGGGCTGCACAAATGTGCAGAAGATGCTAAATAATTTAAAATAATTTATTTTAAATAAAAATTCCATGCCGATCATGTTTCTCATCCATCAGTCAACCAATTGTGTGTCATCATGTCCAATCTTATTTTGAAAAACCATCGACTGAGTCCGCGATAATGGAACCACAAAGTAGTGAGGGATTCCTGTATCGCCACTTCTGTTTTGGCTAAAATCAGTTACCCACCTAAAGTTGGACTGACTCCACAAGTCAACTAGTTGTAGCTGTACTTTGTACATCCAGTGATTATTTATTGAAAGTTTCATTAAAAATTGTTCTGTTTTTGAAAAGATATTTTGCTAACAGACAGAGCTGATGACAAATAGTTGATTGCAGTTTTTTTTTAAACAAACAAATAAAAAATCTGTGCCATCTTTTAGTGCCTAAAAAACTATTATGAATCAATCTCAACTACCACTACAGCAAAATTATTATTCAATATTTATTAAATTGACTGAGGTAAAGCTGACGATGTGTTTTCTAAGGTCAGTTTGCTGTGGTGGCCATTTTTGATTGGGTTGATTCCAAAGTTAATCGTTGTTGATCTACTATTTATCCAACAGTTAATTTCTAAGAGCTTCATTGAAATTTAACAGTTCATGGAGTATTTTGCTAACAGACAAAAAACACACATGCTTAGACCGTGGAAAAACATTATTGTCCACCTCCTCTTATCATAGCAGGTGATAGTTAAACAGGTAAGATCCTATCAATATCTACAGAGCCTTGCGAAAGTATTCTGCCCCTTGAACTTTTCAACCTTTTGCCACATTTCAGGCTTCAAACATAAAGATATAAAATTATATTTTTTGTGAAGAATCAACAACAAATGGGACACAATCGTGAAGTGGAATGAAATTTATTGGATGTGTCAAACTTATTTAACAGATAAAAAACTGAAAAGTGGGGCGTGCAATATTATTGGGCCCCTTTACTTTCAGAGCAGCAAACTCACTCCAGAAGTTCAGTGAGGATCTATGAATGATCCAACGTTGTCCCAAATGACTGATGATGATCAATAGAATCCACCTGTGTGTAATCAAGTCTCCGTATAAATGCACCTGCTCTGTGACAGTCTCAGGGTTCTGTTCAAAGAGCAGAGACCATCATGAAGACCAAGGAACACACCAGGCAGGTCCAAGATACTGTTGTGGAGAAGTTTAAAGCTGGATTTGGATACAAAAAGATTTCCCAAGCTTTAAACATCCCAAGGAGCACTGTGCAAGCAATCCTATTGAAATGGAAGGAGTATCAGACCACTGCAAATCTACCAAGACCCGGCCGTCCCTCTAAACTTTCATCTGGAACAAGGAGAAGACTGATCAGAGATGCAGCCAAGAGGTCCATGATCACTCTGGATGAACTGCAGAGATCTACAGCTGAGGTGGGAGAGTCTGTCCATAGGACAACAATCAGTCGTACACTGCACAAATCTGGCCTTTATGGAAGAGTGGCAAGAAGAAAGACATTTCTCAAAGATATCCATAAAAAGTGTTGTTTAAAGTTTGCCACAAGCACCTGGGAGACACCAAACATGTGGAAGAAGGTGCTCTGGTCACATGAAACCAAAATCCAACTGTTTGGCCACAATGCAAAATGATATGTTTGGTGTAAAAGCAACACAGCTCATCCCCCTGAACACACCATCCACACTGTCAAACATGGTGGTGGCAGCATCATGGTTTGGGCCTGCTTCTCGTCAGCAGGGACAGGGAAGATGGTCAGAATTGATGGGAAGATGGATGGGGCCAAATACAGGACCATTCTGGAAGAAAACCTGTTTGAGTCTGCAAGAGACCTGAGACTGAGACGGAGATTTATCTTCCAACAAGACAATGATCCAAAACATAAAGACACATCTACAATGGAATGATTCACAAATAAACGTATCCAGGTGTTGGAATGGCCAAGTCAAAGTCCAGACCTGAATCCAATCGAGAATCTGTGGAAAGAGCAGAAGACTGCTGTTCACAAACGCTCTCCATCCAACCTTACTGAGCTCCAGCTGTTCTGCAGGAAGAATGGGCAGAACTTCAGTGTCTCCATGTTCAAAACTGATGGAGACAAACCCCAAGAGACTTGCAGCTGGAACTGCAGCAAGAGGCGGAGCTACAAAGTGTTAATGCAAGGGGGCCCAATAATATTGCACGCCCCACTTTTCAGTTTTTATTTGTTAAAAAAGTTTGACACATCCAATAAATTTCATTCCACTTCACGATTGTGTCCCACTTGTTGTTGATTCTTCACAAAAAATTTAAATTTTATATCTTTATGTTTGAAGCCTGAAATGTGGCAAAAGGTTGAAAAGTTCAAGGGGCCGAATACTTTCACAAGGCACTGTATATAGATACATAGATGTAATACATCAATGTATCTATATACAACCCCAAACCTGCAGCAGTAAATGGACTGTACTTATACAGCACCTTTCTATCTTATTTCAAGATACTCAGAGCTCTTTACAACAATCTGTGCCTCAATGACCCATTCATACAGCTCTATACTAGATCTCTACAAAGATAATTGAACAACTCATACTAATGTGAATAATCAGAGCTTTGTCACATTCATACACTGATGGGACACACATCAGAGGCTATGAGGGGTTCAGGGTCTTGCCCAGGGACACTTCAGCATGTGACTGCTGGTGGAATCGAACCCCCAACTCTTGCATTGGAGGACGCCAGCTCTAACCACTCAACCACAGCTTCCCAGTACACAGCTGTTCCATCTGTCCAACTGCATTGCGCGTTTTAGGGACTGCAAATCGGTAGAAATGGATTAATCTTCTCCTCCCTGATCAACTCTCACTAACCTGATGATCTTGGATTTTGCGTCCTACAACGCGGAAGGCATTGTTGCCTGTGTGGTGGTAAATATGGACTCTGCTAAAGCCCGTTGAGCCGCCAGCCGGGATCCACTTCTTGTTGGCATCATCGTAAACCATAACAGCAGCTCGTGCTTGGCAGATACTCTGTTCACTGCAACAGAAAAGACAAACCGTAATGACTATTAAATAAAACAGATAATTCATTTGGTCGGTATTTCAACAAAGCTCATCATTTCAATTACAGAACTAGTCATAACTTTGATAATATGTTTTAACATTTCAGTTCAATTCAATTCAAAGCACTTTATTAATCCCAGAGGGAAATTAAGTGTTGCTGTTGCACTGTCGTAGCAATTATTTTTTCTATCCTTAACATGTGTTTTTTGTCTTTCAGGTACACCTGGACCTATATCTGGACCTGGACCTATATCTGGACCTGGACCTATATCTGGAC